TCTTTCTTTCTTTCTTTCTTTCTTTCTTTCTTTCTTTCTTTCTTTCTCTCTTTCTCTCTTTCTCTCTTTCTCTCTTTCTCTCTTTCTCTCTTTCTCTCTTTCTTCCTTTTCCTTATTAAGCTGTCCATATCTCAATCCATGAGTTCATTTCAGTGTTCTCCCCCATTCTACTGTAGACTGTAGTGGAGTGAGTGAAATGCTGTGTGGTATTTAACTTTCTTTCTTCTGGGTTAATTCAAGACAACTGACAAACTCTTTTAACTTGGGATTACCTTCTGTCTTTCAGTGGCTACCAGCACAAGTGAACACAGTTTACATTCAAACTGGATCCTTCGTGCTCCTCGCAGGTACTCAGAAGATACTGCCCAAACAGCAAAGGCTGCAAACCAGTCACAAAAAAAAAGCCAACGAAGAACCACTGGCTCTAGGAAGAGGTTGGAAAGACATCCTATGTACTTGCCCAAAGCTGTGGAGGGAGCATACAACACATTAAAATTTAAGCCCAAAACACGAAAGAAAGAATATTGAAAGAATATTCCATCTTCAGCTGAAGACAGAACGTTTGAAATGGAAGACTTGATGCTCTTTCTTTTTTTTTTTTTTTTTTTTTTTTACCTCTAGCCCATCTTTTGTACTCTAGAAATAGTATGTGCAGTCATTGAAGATTCTTCATTTTGTATACACGTCAAGCCATGGCAATTCCAACACTGGACTCATGTGAGGATTTAACTCATCGAGTTTACTGTGCCTAACAATACTGCTTTGTCATTCAGCATTGGGGGGGAACTCCCAACTTGACAAGCCTTCTTGTAGTGCTGTTATTGAAAGCAATGATTCAGAAATTATCTGGTGTGGTAAATTTTCCTCTGAACCCAATACAGCAAGACAGTGCTGCTAATACGCTATGAGCTTTTGCACCAGTTTTCAAATTCAGAGCAGTGAAGCAGAGTTTCCTCTATTTTTGTATGTGAAAATTTGTATGTGCCATTGTTGACTCTGTGTTCTAAGAGCATACAGCAGCACTGAGATAAGAGAAAGCTGTGGTACAAGCAGAAGAGGCTGTAGTGAAGGAATCAGCATTAGAGGACTCGTACTGTTTTGAGGAATAGCTTCGGTGGTTTTGGAAAAAAAAAAGTCAAGTACTTTTCTTGCTAGTGGGAATAGTTCTGTTCTTGGATACAACAACATCAAAGGATTTGCTGCTTGCAAAAATATGTTCAGCTGTTTTCATATAGTTACACCGCCTCTTAGTTTACATTTATTTCATCATCTGGATGCTGAGTAAACTTGAACCAAATGCTAGGAATGTAGGCTTCCTACTATGCATGGAAAGAGCTTAATGTCTTAGAAAAGAACACTTTGTGAACGAAGTGAAGAAAAGGTTATCCTCAAGAGCAGAGGGCAATTTGCAGGTAAATCCACTGCACCAGAATTAGATTATACGTAGTATTTTGATTTCTGCCAACCCATCATTGAATATTACGCATACTAGGAAGAATGCAGTCTAGAAGTGTTCCTCTTCAGGCTTTTTCATCTTAGAGGTGATGTCTTCCACGTGATGCGTGAAATTGATATGACTCATACTCTGCATCTTTTTCTGTGTATATCACAGGCATCAGTCTGAGATACCTCTAGCTCATGCTTGGTCTTCAGAATTTGCTAAGATGTTTGGATCAAGAGTTTGTTAATCCTACTGTTTTTTCATCTGATGTTCAGTTGGTGGTTCACTGTGGCAGATGAATCACAATAACACTGGTACGAACACTTCTTGTTTCTATGTTGTAGGTTTGGTGCCCACAGGCGCAGATAAACTTCATAAGGCACTGGCCATCAATATAACCTATCTGATACATCATTTACTTTACTTTCTGATACATCATATACATTTACGTTATTGAGTGCACCCTCAGCAAGTTTGCAGATGACACCAAGCTGAGCAGTGCAGTCAATACATTGGAAGGAAGGGAAGCCATCCAGAGTGACCTGGACAGGATGGAAAAGTGGGCCCATGAAAACCTAGTGAGGTTCAATAAGGCCAAGTGCAGAGTGTTGCACTTGGGCTGGAGCAATTCCAGGTATTTATACAAACTAGGGGAAGATCTCCTGGAGAGCAGCTCTGTGGACAAGGACTTGGGGGTCCTGTTGGATGAGAAGCTGGACATGAGCAAGCATTGTGCGCTTGCAGCCCGGAAGGCCAACGGTGTTCTGGGTTGATTAAAAAAGGGGTGGCCAGCAGGGAGAGGGAGGTGATTGTCCCCCTCTATTCAGCTGTTGTGAGGCCCCATCTGCAGAACTGTGTCTGGGCCTGGGGTCCCCAGCCCAAGAAAGACTCAGAGCTCTTGGAGTGGGTCCAGAGGAGGGCACTGAGATGATCAGAGGGCTGGAGCACCTCTCCTATGAGGAAAGGTTGAGGAAACTGGTCTTGTTTAGCTTGGAGAAGAGAAGGCTCTGGGGAGACCTCATTGCAGCCTTCCAGTACTTGAAGGGAGCATATAAACATGAGGTGGAATGGCTGTTTACTAGGGTGGATAATGATAAGACAAGGGGGAATGGTTTTAAACTGAGACAGGGGAGGTTCAGGTTAGATATTAGGTGGAAGTTTTTCACTCAGAGAGTGGTGACGCAAAACATGTTGCCCAAGGATGCTGTGGATGCCCCATCCCCGGAGGCATTCAAGGCCAGGCTGGATGTGGCTCTGGGCAGCCTGGTCTGCTGGTTGGTGACCCTGGACATAGCAGGGGGTTGAAACTGGATGATCATTGTGGTCCTTTTCAATCCAGGCCATTCTATGATTCCATGATTCTATAACCACTATAAACATTGTACTTGCAGAATACTTGGCAGGTGGCAATTCTTAATGATTTGTGTTCCCAGTCTTTGGGACTATGTTTTTCAACCACCATTTGTGCCATGAGGAGGAGGAACCTCTCTCAGATCTCACTGATCTGAGAGAGACCACTGACAATTTCTGTCATGAGATAGGAGAGTGCCAAAAAATTGATGTTCTTCCTTTCACAGCTGGCATCTCCTGTTTGATGAAAGCATTTTGTTTATTTTCCTAGTGGTGTTCGTGAAGGAGAGGGAGGAATTAGTTCTGCAGTGCTTTAATTCTGGAGGCATTCTGCTATTCTCAGTCTACCCAGTTTAGCCAGCATCACTGACACAGAATCATAGAATGGATTGGAGTGGAAGGGACCTCATAGATCATCTAGTTCCATCCCAGGATGGGCTGCTGGATCAAGCACTAGATCAGGATGCTCAGGGCCCCATCCATCTTGCCCTTGAATGCCTCCAGGGATAGGATATTCCCAGCTTCTCTGTGCAGCCTGTGCCTCAGTGAAAAATTTCTACTTTACATTTTTGAGAAGAGCTTAAATTAAGGTCTAAGTTTTGCTTCCTTGCTGTTTGTACTTGTCACAATTGGTCTGTTGGTGGATAGCATTGCTGCCTTTGTAATTCACCAATCCTGTTTTACTTCCCTGAGCATAATACCTGTTTGCCTTTGATACGGTCACTCAAAGACACTCACTTGAGCACATGGGACAGCCAGAATACAGCATGCTCCAAACAGAGCCCCTTTCCTGAGTATCTTAAGGCTGCAGCTGCATGTTTGTGTCAAAAGGGAATGGACAGTGCTCTGGCAAATCTGTGACCCTGAAATCGCTCTCCAAGCAGAATCTCACACTGAACTTACTGAGGAACAGGTTTCCTAAGTGCGTGGTTACTGTTTTGATGATGGGAAACAAAGCACAGACAGATGCTGACAGAAAGCCTCACAATTGTTTTGAGGTACTATGATAGAATTAGGTAAACTCATAATTAAAATATTGACAAAAAGAAGAAGAAAAGTTTTCCAGTGGTGTTCAGGCCTGGACTGTAGTTCATATTCGTAGTGCCAAGGTTTTACTGATGTGAGCAGCTGATCTTTTTTGCTATTGCTTGAGGAGTGCACAATGATTGTAGAATCACAGAATCATAGAATGGTTTGGTTTGGAAGGGACCTTTAAGATCATCTAGTTCCAACCCCCTGCTATAGGCAGGGACACCTCCTGTTAGACCAGGTAGCTCACAGCCCCATCCAGCCTGGCCTTGAGTGCTTCCAGGGAGGGGGCACCCATAACCTCTCTGGGCAACCTGTTCCAGTGTCTCACCACCCTTACAGCAAAGAATTTCTTCCTAATATCTAGTCTAAATCTACCTTCTTCGCTCTTCCACTTTAAAGACATTTCCCCTCATCCTGTTGCTACCTGTCATTATAAAAAGTCCCTCCTCAGCTTTCCTGTAGGCCCCGTTCAGGTTCTGGAAAGCTGTTATACAGTCTCCCCAGAGCCTTCTTATCTGTCCTGGTAAAGCTGGTTATCTCTCCATGACAGGGAGTACAGGTGTCCTGCTGTCCAGCCCACAAACTCCAGTGTGAAACAAGAGGTTTGCTCTGGAAATAATGCCTCCTATTTCATTTCATTGGCCCACAACATCAGAGGCAGATGTTGGTGGTATGGCAGTAGAGATGGAACCTTCTCACAAGTATTTCATTACATGGCAGTAGGAGGGCAGTCTGACAAAGTGGCATCTGACATGGAAATGCATATGAAGCAAGGGTGTAGAATTTAATTCCTCCATGAGGGAAAATGGCACCCACTGATATTCATAGACATCTGCTGAACATTTATGGAGACCAAATAGTGGATGTGAGCACTGTGAAGCAATAAGGGCTGCATTTCAGCATCAGTGAACGCAACAGTGGGTCACCTCCATCAACAGTTTTTTATGAGCATGACATGCAGGTTCATTACTGAAAATGCATAGCTAATGGCTGTCACTATGTTGGAAAATAGCTTTTTGTAGCTGAGAATTTGCTCTATCAAATAGTGTTATCGTACTCTTTGTATCTTGTAATTTTCATGAAAATAAATGGAGGCATTACTTTCAGAACAACCTACATACTTGTTTTTATGAATAAGAGTGAGGGGAAAAAAATCATCTCCCACATGGCTTTGGAGGCAGAGCTGTCTGCACCAACAGCAAAGGGTGTCCCTCTGCCTGCTGTAGGGCCTCTAAGTTACCTCACTGCAACGTGTGGCTGTTTTCAGGCATTGGGAGGCTGAAATTAAGAACCTACTGTAAGAGTCTTGCTGATGTATATTGTACAGAAGAATTCTTCATGACCAGCGGAGCTCTACATGACCTAGATCCTTTACAGAGATCAGTAGTGAGCTTTTTCAGTCTTGTTCCCAGGCTCTGATAGTGAAGGCAGTAAACTGGGAGCTCTGCCAATAAAGGCTGCAGTGTGCAAGCGCCGATCTCCAAAAGCTCTTTCCCAAAAATGAGTTGGAGTAATGGACAAGATCTTTGGGAGAGTCTCTCTTATTCTGTTGCTTCAAACTCAGTTCTATTGAAGTACTGAGGTATTTCTTGCTCCTCTAACCAGTGTAATTGGTGACCACTGCTCCTGAAGGGGCTGTGGCTATGAATTTCAGTGATGCCACATCCACAACTATCTGTGAAAAACCAAAGGCACTGCATACTTG